ATATATGTGTGTGTGTGTAAAAGGAGGCTAACACACGGTAATCATGATTGATATTGGCTTTTGGATGGGTTTAATGAGAGGGGTATATGTGCATGGTAAATGTGTAATATTTTAACCCCAAATAGATGTAATGGCTATCGATATTAGGAATATTAATGAACTTTGTCTTAAATCCAAATTTTCAATTACTTATTAATCTACTCCTATCTCAAAACTCCAATTGACATTCATATTAATTTCATTTAATACTACCCTTTTCTAAATATTAATTCTCAACTATTTCATCGAGTGCAGGATTTCAGAGAATGGAACGTATTGGTGGGCTCCATCGTTATTGTCATCTCAAACCTTATATGCCGACCCGACCACGTGACGAATGTCTCGACCAGGAAAACCCACCAGGTTTTCGCTGTACGGGCTCCGAATGCTCAGCCCAGAAGCGGGTCCCACAAGCGTGGGCTTCTCCTGCGTGCACGGAGAGGTACGTTGTTGGGTGTCTGCGAAGCCGCAAAGCCGAGTTGTGGATAGGCTTCAAAGGTGTACGTTACTAGCATGGGTTTTGGAGAGCGTTCAAGTAACTTCTCTTTCTGCTTTGTTGCTCTGAAACCCTTCCCTCAACGGGAAACACATCCCGAGGAATCCCAATTCCAGGCACCAATTCACGTAGATCCGTGGAGTTACGACGATTTGGAGGTCGAGGTTGTTCTTTTGATGGCGGAAAACCTTGGTCCCGTAGTTTTCGCGGCTTAAACTCTCTGCATTTTCGCAGATCGTTCCCGCTCCTCTTCTCTGCTTCGTTGGATCGCACATTGTGGTATTTTCTCGAATTCCTCGGGGTTTCCTTTTATTGCTTTTGTCTCTGCTCTCTCGGGATTCTATGGATTGATTTCGATCCATTTGTTTCCTTAACGTTTTGGGTCGCGATTGGACTCATATAATTTAGTAAGATATTTGGATTTTTGGGATGTTCTTGAAATCGATTGACTCTAATTTTTATTTCATTGGAGATAAAAACAAGCGTCTCGAATCTCTCTAGTCTAAAAATTGCATCTTTTACTGATCAAATATATACATGACTATCCGATAAATCTTTCTTGTATTCTGTGAGTTCTTCTACTGGATTGTTAAGTAATTAGTCTTACTGTGAAGCTTGAAAGTGTTAAAATGAGTGATTTTGATGTTAAATTCCGATCCTGTTCTATGCCACTTCTTGACATACTGAATCCACACGACTTGACTTGCTTGTTTGTACTCTGTACATGGAATACCTGCGTATAAATTGATGCCTTCTGTTACTTTTGAATCTGTAATAGAAGATGGAAGAGGATGAACCCTAAAAGGTGAAGTTCATCAGTGTATTGAATTAGGTGAAATTGTAGTTATTTCTAGTCCTGTAGGCTTCAGATACATCGCTTTCACAAAGTTTGGCACAATAGCACTCATTGTGTCTTTCATCAATAATTTTCTGAATGGTGGGACATGAAAGTTCCAAGTGTTTATCTCTCTTTATTTCATCAAGTTGTGGCGTATCAACCGGCCTGTTGGGGTTGAATCTAGGATTGCAGTCCCACCACAAGGCTGGCTTGCTATCACATCTCTTTAGCTGTCTGACAATGACCAACGAGTTGCACCTATAATTCATGAAGTTTGCTGACTTTTCAGTTTGTCCCTAATAGCTTCTGTGTAGATTGGATGATCTACTCGTATCATTCAGGTTCACCTCGTCTGGCCCTTTCCTAAATGTTAGTGCAACTTGCGAGAGCTTGTCCTGTGCTACCAAGCTAATCTTACCATCATTTGGTTGGTGAAGGAACTGTACATGGTAACTTTCTATATTGTAACTTTCAGCACCTCAGATTCCGGTAATGCAGGATAATTTCATTCTTAGATCTTTTATTGCTTCATTTGCACTTCAGTTGATCGAACCTGATGGTTTCTCAATCGATTGAAAATAATGTATTACATACTTTTGCAGAAATGGAGGCTGAGATGTGCTCTGTTCATACTCTATCCCCTTCTCAGGAAGAAAGTGGAGATGAAGAACTCTCAGTGCTTCCTAGGCACACCAAAGTCATTGTTACTGGTAACAACAGAACCAAATCTGTATTGGTCGGGCTGAAAGGAGTCGTGAAGAAAGCTGTTGGTCTTGGTGGCTGGCATTGGCTGGTAACATTCTCGTTTTCGACACACAATCCTTTTCCATTCGCTATCATGATCATCTTTACATGAATGAAATTGAGCTAGGTTTGTGGATCCTATTGTTCTTTACTAATAGTGCTTCTTGTACTCACTGAACTTTCTACTTTGTTTTATGTGTACAAAGGAGAATTTGTTCCTTTATACTATGCTCTCAGATTTATTTTGTGTGAAATTTGTCGCCTTTTTTTGTCGGAGGATCTTTTATAGCAACTGACAGGAAAATGTTTGATAAATGTTGACTGTAAAGATTACTTACAGATTCTTCCATTATCAGACAAAGATTTTGTTATGCTTCACACTCACTTGTTTTGATTAATGTATTGGTATACATATTTCTAAAATCTTCATACGTTACATGACTTTTGGTGAAGAATGAATTGCATATGTGAATGCAGGTCCTGAAAAATGGGGAGGAAGTAAAGCTGCAAAGGAATGCTTTGAGTGTTTTGGAAGCTCCAACTGGAAACGAAGATGATGAAATCGATTGTGATACCTCTTTCTGCAGTAGCTCAGACATGGGAGAAAAAGACATGGATTACAGTAAGCTTTTACTCTTTTCGAGTTAGTCTGGATAACAAGCAAAAGTTAACATCCACAAGTGAGCACTAAATCTATAACTGGCTAGTATTTCACTCAGCTTTTTTTTTTACATGTCTATGAATCATCATCTTCTACTGACAGCTGGTTCGGAGATTCACAAACCAAGAAAGTCAAGGATTCGACAAACTAGGTCATGGAAGTCGAACGGCCAAAGTAGCATCAGGAACATTCACTCCCATGGTTTTAAGCCTCGAACGGTAAGATGATGTTGTTCTGGATCTTTTTATCACATTGAGTATTTCTTTTACACTTTTGGGAGATATCAATGCATGACTATGATGTCATTGCAACATAAAATTACATGAGAGATCTCCTGCTTGTGTTTATTGTATATTTGAAGGAAAGATTTGAATTCACACAATAGTGTCCTCTTGTCATTAGCTTGTAGACTGAGGTAGATGTATTTGGAACTCATGCTTACACTTTGTAGATCATTAACAGAGGGTAAGATTGTCAAAACTCGAGACCGCCACCTTGTGGAGATACCTGAAACACTTCAATCTTGTATGTTCCTTGGCTGCATGACATTGAAATTTCCAATTGGAAAGATCTTCTGTTTCACATCTGCAAAACCTTGAAAGCATATTCTTTTAACATTACCCAGGTGAGCAGTAACCCCAGTCCAACAAAGGAACAACTGGTCCATGATGTGCAGCACCATTTCCTCTCTCAGGTACTCACTCACCAGTCTTCCTCTACAGCTACTTGTTCGTTCAGTATGCATTTTAACTCGCTATAAACATGTTCATTTTCTCACATCCAAAACTTATCTACCACTTCATTTGCACGAAGAAACTGGATGAAACGGAGGTCATTTTAGGCTTCATTCATGCTGCAAAGAGATTGAGGACTCTATACTCATAAGGTCTCGTCTGATGAATTAAAGAAGGAATCAAGTATATTCATGTTGTTTCCAAAATGGAGGAGTTTGACATGGTGTGGTGTAAGCATGAACTAACATTTCAGAATCAAGGAGATCCTGAAGCTGTCTATAACCATGTTTGTCGATTGTCTCTGAGATTTTATTGTAAATTCTGATTACGAGTCTACTCGTAATGCATGAGGAAATAAAGAAAAAATTTATCGTGAAATTCTCATTGCAACTAATACCAAAACACATGTTCATTAATTAGTGAATATCATGTGAATTTTTTGACTTGAGCCCATTTAATGTCTCATATTCTGATTGCATTGTGCCATTGAGATAACAGGAAACATCACAGACTAGATCAATGTGTTGGTCTGCAATATTTCTAGAGGAAAAGAAACTTTACTTTCTGAGGAGTATTTGTGATAGTTTCTCAACCTTTCTTGACATATACCTCATTTCAACACTTCAAAATACACACACACACTAATTTTTGAATAATTGTGTGCATATGGATTGAATGTTCCATTAACTATTTAATTATTCACACAGAGAGAACAATCATAGTCAAATATCCATGCTCCATCTTTGTTAAGATTCGAACCTAAAGATAAATATGAAGCAATGAAGAACCTTTGCAATTATACCTTCTAACATTGATGCTATCCAGCTCCCACCATCAAAAAGATGATCATGATCTCATCCATAGTTGATGGAGATCAAAAATCCAATTTGAAAAACCAGCTAAATTCAATTCTGCATAATAATACATAATAAGAATAAGAATCATTCCATTCCATATGAAAGCTGAACAGTCGAATGATTTGAGAGATATAATTATGATGGTTTTCTCCCTGTTCAATCAAAAGACAGTATGAGTGAGCTGAGGACTGAGAAGACTGATGGAATGCCTATTCTTAGGAGAAATGACACCTTGGCCAATCATAAGTCCCTGGAATCTGCATGGCCCATCAATCCCAGATTCCTCCAATCCAGTCAAGTCACCAACCCTAGTGGGTTTTCCTGTCATCCTCATCCAGACAAGTAGCAGGCTCACTCCAGCTTTAGAAGGGCATCAGCATAGAGGGGAGAAAGTGAGAAGCAAACCCTGCTCCTCTGCTGGGTAACATCTGCAGAATTGGGTATGCAACCCTGTTGGAGGAAGCCTGGATTTGGCAAGGTTAGGGTTCACGCAATTGGGCATCTTTGTCTACCAAATCTAACACCAGAGTGTGGTGGGGATCTACTTGCACTTGGAGCTGTCTCTTCTTCAGAAAAGTTTGCTGTCTACTGTGCATTTCCTTGTCATGAGCTCTTGCCATGCTGAGGAATGTTACTCTTGTGGAATCTGCAATATACCATTGAAGCAATCATCTTCTCTCTCTCTCTCTCTCAGAGTTCAATGATCAATCATGATCATTCAAACATTTCTCTGGAAACATGTTGCAGTTGCATTCATCTTTTTATTCTGGAATGGGAACTAACTTTTGTCTAGAGCGAATTATAAATGGCTAAACTTAAATCCAAGAGTTGTTTGCAGGCAACTCTGGATTTTGAGCACCTTTTCTTGCTAGAAAGAGGAAACTGCATGCAGTTTGAGACCACAAAAGTACATATGTTTGCTGCAAATTGACCTCAAGAAAGAATTGGTGTTTGAATCAAAATCTAAGCTTTACACATAGATCATGCTAATTGCTACACATTTACATTCGCTGCAGTCATATCATCAGAACAATGCCTTCTCTCTTACGCGAAGAGCTCCAAGAACGCTCGTTGGAACATGGTGCTCACAAATGTAGCAAGGAGCATCAGGTGGCAGGCGGCCTGAAGCCAGTTCTGGTAAGTGTTTCCCCAGTTATGGTAGCAGATATTTGAAGGTCTCGGAGTTGGAATTTGATGGGCACTTCTGCGACAACCATACTCGTATTAAAGAGGGAAGAGAAACCACTGCCCTCTCTGGTGAGAAATGACGCATGGAGAAGAATGCTACAGCCAACTCTACCAGGAACAGCAAGGATAAGGAGAAGAAGCCATGGATGTACAGCCAACTACGAAGAGGGGGCTTCACATGGCCTTCGAGGACGTATTGCTGTAGCTTCTGCAGGAGGGAGTTCAAGTCAGCTCAGGCTCTCGGGGGTCACATGAACGTCCACAGAGGGGACAAAGCCAGACCGAGGCAATCCCCACCCTCTAATCCTAAGCTTGGAAGTAAAGCTGTTCCTTGTAGCAACGATGCATTTTCCTCCATGATTTCTCCTTCGATACATCTCTCTTGCTCACCACCTCTGGCCTCAAGTGTTGATGACTTGAAGACCATGGAAGAAGACAGGGGAAATGAGGTCCTAAAGACGAGCAAAGGCAGGAGGTAGCAGTCTCTGTGGATCAAAAACTTGATCTTGACTTGGAACTTCGACATGGATACATATAGAAGTACTCGTTCGTCCTCTTTTCTCTTCTCCTCTCCGTTCTGCTTTCTTCCATCTCCTGAACACTTTATGTCGCAGAAGAATGATCACCGGAATGGAATGCATGCCATCTACAGACTAGCTGTATCTGTTGATTCCGGTAACAAGTTCTTCTTCGACAATGATTTTTAGTCATACTGTTCTTTACTAAACCGATCTGATTGATCTATCTGTTTTCTTCTTTCTTTTTTTCCTGAGTACTTTTACAGTCATCGCAAAGAAGCTGTTGCTGGAGATCTATTTGGTTACAATAGCAGAAATTAACCCATCCTGCTCACTATTAGCTCACAGTCAACGAAATATAGCTTGTCTCTTTATATGTTCTTCATCAGCTGTTTTTGTATTGCTTATCATTATATGATGTTCTCACATTTTTTAATGCAAGATCCACGAGTTAAAAATCGCCATTTAAGTCACGATTTAAAATAGTGTTGATAAATACCCATCAAACAAGAAAAACGAATAGGAACATGATTAATTGTCTAGTAAATCATGACTTAAATTTTATCGATGAATACCCATCATCTATTTTTATGCACTATCCTGCAACGAATTACATGTTACCCTATATATTTGGACTCTATTAGTATCGTGATTCTTGTACTTAACAAATTTATATTAAAATTTTTATAATTTTAAAAATAAAATAAATAACCTAATTTATCTGATTAATGAAAAATACACGATCGATGTGAAAGTAATGAAAAAAATAATAATTTTAATATATTTTTATTTTTAATAATTTTATTGGTAAAATATTAATTTTAACATCTTACGTGTTGAAAATAAAAAATATGTTAAAATTATCTTTTTTATCATTATTTTCACATCGATCCAAGTGGTGTTTTATGTTATATTTTTCATCAATGTATTTGATGACGTTAGAATAAATAAGATTATTTATTTTATTTTAAAAAAATATAATAATTTTAATATAAAATTTTTAAATATAAAAATCGTGATATAAGAAAATCTAAATATAGGGGATAATATCTAATTAGTTCAGTCAGTTAATCCCCACTTAAGTCGCGACTTCAATAGTGTGATTAAGTACATAACAAATGCGGGAAAAGGGGGGGAAGCAAAAAGCTTATGACATGGAGGCACGAAGGTTTGGTGAGAGGACAAAAAGCCGAACGCCTTTGCTGCCACCTTCGCTCGCTTCCAAGACGGAGCGCAGTTAGACGCAGTTCGACTTTCGCCAAACCCCTCCTTTTCCCCACACGGAAACCCTTCCGCGACCCCTCCGATTCTGCTCTCCAAATGCTTCCAGCCCTCCCATGGCACTCGCCGTTTTGCCCTCCCCCGCCTCCTTCCCCTCCTTACAGTCTCCTTCCCTTCTCTTCCTTCCCCAAGTTTCGAGTTTTCCATTCCTCGTGGAGCGCCAATCCGGTCGTAGCTCGCGGAAGCCTCGCGTCTTGTTGCTCTGGGAAGAAATCCAGGTCAGTCTTGACTTTCCTCTTTTTTCTTGATGAAAGGTGAGTTCTTGATTGCTCTGCTTGTTGTGGCGATTGGTTTCCGGGCTGTTGTAGCCGGAGAGGAAGGGCGTCGAAGAGCAACGAGGAACTGTGTCATGAGCTTCGGGAGTTCAACTTGGCCATAGGGCTTCCTGAAAATCGCGTGCCATCAATGAAGGAGCTCTGTGAGAAAGGGAGGTTCGTCGGCTCATTCCGTTGTTTTGTTCCTCTAGCTCTTTGATCGATTGGTTCCTCCCGATTTTTTCTTGATCATTTGGTTTTACTTAGAAGATCGTGTTAAAGAACCGACCTTTTGTGCCGCTGTTCAAAGTGGGCTTTACCCAAGCAGATTTAGAGATCCGTCGGTGACGTTAACATATGATGCACCAAAGGGAAGGTTTATTAAGTAAAAATTAACTTTTGATTTCTTTGCAGTCATCAACACATGTTAAAAGACTGAGTTTTGGCATGTGGGTTTCACCCAAGAGAATTTAGAGATCTCTTAGTGACATAACAGATGATGTTCCAAAGCGATCGATTATAAAATTACAAATAACTTGGTTTTCGTTGCTTGGTCATTTGCAATGTAGATGCAAATAGGTTATCAAATCTGGTTGGCAGTTCTTTGGAGGATAAGATTGGTGAAAGAGTGTCAAATACAATCTCCAACTGAAATTTTTTTTGCAGATTTTGTTGATTTAGTGTGAACTTAGCTGAAACTTTAAGACACAATGCTCAATTTGTCTTCTATGACATAAATTTACCTTCTGTAATCGACATATATTCTTACTAGATATGTGGTTGCCATATCATGTCAAGTTCTTTACTTTTCTTTTAACCTTGATTTTTTTTTTCTTGGATGTTTGCTGGAGTAAGGTAGCGCACTAGTTTATCAAGATAGAAAAACATTTCAACATATATCTGGTAGTTGTAGGTTTGAAAAACTTTGCTATTTTAAAGTACTTATGATCCAAAACCACTGTAATAATTTTATTATTTAGTTATTTCCTTTGTTAATTTGGTGACATAGTAACTTCTCATGTTTAATAATTAACAAGCTTGTAGAAGATGCTTCCATCTAGATAAATATCATACTTGCAATTGCCACAGGAAGGACCTTGCAAATATTGTGAGGCGGAGAGGATATAAGGCAATCACAGAGCTTCTTTTAAATTCAAATGGAGAGAGCCATTCAGGAAAGGTTTTGGAAGGAAAGCAAGCTTCGATAAATGGAAACTTATATGAAACTGCAGGTTTGCAATTTTTCCCAATATGTTTATCGGCTTATCACTTACTAGTCCTTCTGATGTTATTTACTATAGTAATCTTAGGAGGTCAAGAGAGAAACGTAATTGTGTCTCCTAGCTGCACCTTTTCATCAAGAAATTATTCTTTGGAAGACATGGTTAAATCAAATGGAGCAGTATCAACGAAGAATCATGACCAAGTATGTGAGGATTCATCAGAGTCTTTGCATCTAAAGGCAGCCAAGTTTGAGCACACTGAAGAATTGGATATAATAAAAGGTACTAGTAGATAGTCAATCTATATGTTCTGTTAATTATGCACATTTTTACCGTTCATTGTTTCAAGTTCTAGTTTGATGTGAGATGTTTTGTAAATAATTTGTTAACAATAGAAGTTGTAGAGATGGTTCTTTTTATAGTTGATCATAGAGGGAGCTGGTAGAGCTGAAACTATTGATATGAAGTTATGAGCCTACATTCACCTTATGGTTTTCATAACCAAGGAGCGATATCCGCTGTACTTATTTTGTTTTTCTTTTCCTATTTGAGATGAGGCAAACATATCGATGAAGCACTTACTGATTGTATGATGTTTCTATGAATTTTTTCAAAATTTTCCTTCTCCTTATACGACAAAATATATGAAGATTGTTTCTTTTTTGCAAAGGATAGGTTGCTTTAATGCATTGAGAATGGTGGGTTAAATTTGTGATTAGTTCAGGGCACAAATAAGAAGAAAACAATAAATTTATCAAGGAATGTGTCATCTGGTATATTCTTGAAATTGCATGCCTGATGCTGTTCTGTTTGATCATCTTCAGATGCCAAAGTATATGATTTTATTCCTTTATCCAAGTGTTGAGCAGGTTTGACATACAGACGGTTTCTTTGGTTTGCTACGTAGCAGATCCAAAGGGAAGAGCATTCACTTTCACTCATAAATTCTCACTATCCAATAAGTGTTGATTGAAAAACCCTGTGATTGAGAAGTTGGATATAGGTGAGATAATGTCTAATGTGCCAGGACACCTATTTGTCGTGCAGAAGCTTGTTCTTGGTCAATATCCACATAAATAGTATATTATATAATTATATAATATACAGAGTTGCTATTATCAATAAAGTGGATCTGAAAGTTGAAAAACTAATAGGTTGGCACTAATTTTGACTCTAGTATAATTCAATCCTAATGTCAACATAATTTCTTATTTGCTTAATGATATGTCAGGTGAAGACACTGAGTTATATCAGGATTGGGCTCCCAAGGTTGTTTTCTAATTAAATGATTTAACTGAACTATTTTATACTGTAGCTAATTGTTCTTTCAGTTGTATTATTCTTTCTATTTTATCCTTTAGGCTCACGAACAACACAATCAGAATGAGATCAATCACTTAAAAAGCTTGCTGGTAAAATCTTTTGTCCCATCATTTGTTTTATATTATTAATTGTGAAGTTATCATGTCATTGTGATCATCGTTGCTGGAACTATGTTAGGATCAAAAGGAGGTGGAGCTTTCTCAATTGAAGCAACAAATTGAGAATGAGAAGGTAGTGAAGATCTCTTATTTGCTAATAGCAATTATAAACTGATTAACATTTAAAAGAATCAAGGCAGCATCTTTTCTTGAATTACTCTGTTTTGTGTTTCTTTTTTAGATATAGTACCTCACATTATTCATGTTTCATGAAATTCACTTCTTCGGGGATGGACCTTGCGTATTTGTTGAGGTGGTTCAAGCTTCTAAGATGTTAAAATTTAGCTTTAGTAACCTCGAGAAAAAACTACTTAAAGAAGATGCAAGTGCTTCTTTTAAGCAATTTAATGTTATTGAATTTCTGTAGCAAGTATGAGCACATGATCATCTGACTTGTTATTACACACAGTGCAAAAATCATGATACTTTTAACACTTTGTTAATGGTACAGCAATAATTATTCTATGCCGAATAGTGATTTATTGTCTGCAGTTTCAAGATGCTATTTACAAAGGTCAATTCCAGTTCGAAATTGGTGTTCTATTTGGAAGGAACTTTCCGTTTCTTTTAAAGATTGAATTATCTGCTGAAAGAAAGAAAACCAATCTTTGTTGCCTCAGCTTGCTCTAAGTAATCTGCATGCTAAGGGCATGGCTGAGCTTGGTGATATCCAGAGAACGATTGCAGAGAAAGATGCTGAACTCCATGCAGCCGAGGAGAACTTAGATGGACTAAAAGAGGTACAGATTCTCTTCTTGTTTTTCCCCTAATGTGTCTTTGTTGTGTTCCCATGTCTGTCTCACAGGCGTCTTTAATACATAAATCAAACAGCCAATGTACTGTCTGAATAAATACTTTGCCTTTTGAATGCATAACAATCCTGAATACATCAAACAAGGATGCGCTTTAATAAATTTGGTGTGCAATTGTTCATTAATGAAAGCCACAAAATGACTCGTCAAAGAAGATGGGCTCTACTTCCAAGTATTTCACTGCTTGAAGTTACCACAGAATCCATCCAAGCTCCAAGTTTTGAATTGGCAGCATCCTGTGTGTGCTATTCGATTTATCTCTTTAACATATATGTTAATGAATATGTTATTTTTCTTACATAATAAATTGAGACAGGGTATTGTTAACATAGGTTCATATTGACTACTGGGCAAATGGTCAAACTGTAGAAGTTACTGGTAGTTTCAATGGTTGGCAGCACAGAGTCAGATTGGATCTGCATCCTTCGTCTGGACAAACAAATCCACGTGGTTTAAGGTCTATATTCAGAGTATATTGTACCTTCTTTCTAAGATGTTGTCTTTTTAGATATTTTATCTGTGATGAGAGCCAATTGCATGTGATTGCTTATTTTGTGGTCAATCAAATCAAATTCTTTTCATATGGTACTGTTAGGTGACCTCTTGGTGTTTTTGCTGGCATGTATTCTTCTATTTACATGTGAAAATTCTGAATGTTCTAAAAACAGGGTGCCCAGACACCCAGGTAAATCTCAATCAGTAGCTTCCCTGGTGTTTTGTCGACAACCTGTGTGGGCAGTCTGAGTGGAAGTGGTCTGGCAGGCACCTAGGAACCCCATTTAGTTGGCCATTTGATGTACTAGTTTTGATGTCTTGGCTCTTGGGTAACCAATAATTCAACATCAAATCTCACGCAGGTATATATATATATATATATCTTAAAGTTCACTCTCCACAGTTTACAGGCGTATCCAGAAGTGGACAACAGTGTTTTCAGTTTTAGCTGTTTCATTTGAGCGCAACTATATCTTTATAAGCAGACCAGAATTTTTAATATTTTCCAACAAACACAGTTTCCGCTGATAAAAATATTTTATCATATCATTTATGATTGTGTGTGAGGTACTAACCTTAAAAGTGAACGTTTTTTAGGCAACAGTTAAGTTGTTACAAATTAATTATATCTCAATGAAATCATCATCATTGCCATTTTCAAATTCTTCTTTCCAACTTTTTTACCCTTGTTAGGTGCTCATTATTTACTACTGGATTCTTAAAATACTGCTAGTCATATTTATATAATGATATACTCTGCAGGAAACCATTGCTCTGGACAACAGTGTTGTGGCTTTATCCTGGAGTTTACGAGGTAGGAGAAGGGAAGTGATACCCTATGCATAGATGATAGAACAATTATAGAGTTGTTCTGACACTAAATCTTAATATCTTATTTGATTAAAGTTCGAAGTCGTATCAATTGGCCTCTTCATCAAATTCCATAATTCTGTCTCCTAAGTAATGTTTCTGTGTTGACTTGATAAATACTAGTGAATATTTTAGTATACCTAAGTTAAGCGACTAGGATTTTTCTTCATCATTTCACTGTGTGGTTCATTGTTTGTTTTTAATTCTGCACCTTTGTCAGGTTTTTCTTCTCCCTCCACAGTAAACAAGTTGGTGTCTAATGTAGGTATTCTGTGAGTCTTGCTATCATTACACCTGTTCAATTTCAGGGAAGCTAGCTGAGATTTGTGTTAACCTTCATACTGTATTTGTTTTGGGTCTGCGCTTGATTGGTTTTGAACGACAACATCGTTTTCTAGTATTGGTTTCGAAATGGATCGCTTGAAACCGATACCCTTTTTTTTCCCAAGAAACCAATACCTTATCAGATAGGTCAGGATATCATAAGGTATACTGGCACCACAGCATTCTGATATATTATTGAAACCGATAATTAAATTCTCGATGATAGTGTCTAAATCAGTCATAAGTATAATAAATGTCTGGGATGGCTAGAATTTGTGATATCACTGCTTGATAAATGTCAGTTTAAAGACTCATCTAATTCTCTTTCGTTCAAGGTGTAATTGTGTAAATATGTATGGTCACATTGTTCTTGTTATCCTCAGATAAAGTTCATCGTTGATGACCATTGGCGAATCGACTTCCAGCGGGAGATCATTACTAGTGGTGGCATAACCAATAATTTACTGAGGGTAGACGGATGAATCGACCCAAAATTTCACAACTTTTGCAAGGAGGTATGCTTTTTCCTAAATAACCAAAAATCCTTTTGTCTTCTTCTATCTGATTATCATAATGTAAACCATTAGTGATGATCAAATGTATATTAATTCCTTATTATCTAGATGTGTCCAACTTACTGATTTAGTTTCTTCTTTAAACCACTGGAATAATATAGGCTAAAATTTCCCAAGAAGCTGATCAAGTAAAGAATCCAGAGACCAGTGTTCTCCAGAGGTAGCAGATTGGTGAGGCTTCAGAAAATGCAGTTGAAAGAAGATTTTGGTGGCATGAACCAACAAATCCAGTGTGAGAATATCCCATAATTGAAACTGGATAATTTCTCCTGCTAAGGAGAAATCTTCTCTTCGAAACGCGTAATCACCATCTTATTTGTTTTCTTTGTAGCAGTGTCTTAATATTTGTTTATGGTAGTAAAAGATGCTGGTAACAGATAGACTCGATAAATGCTGCAGCATCATTGAAACATATGTTAGCATTAGCCTATATGCCAAACTAGTTCGAAGTACATATGTTAGATTCGATTGTCCTACCAGATTGTTTCATTCAGGCTTGAATGGATCAAACTTCATAGGTGTTGTTGAAATCTGAAATTTGGAGAATATTTTTCTTTCTGAATAAAGATACATACATGCGGATGATGAGGACGGTTTTCGCTTTTGCAGAGATGTCACTCTAAGACTTGCCTCATTTTTGGATGTTTGGTAGACAGGTAGTAATTGATTGGAAGTAGTTCCTTTACAAGTGTTTTCATTGTATGTAAGATATTTTTACATGTATATATGGTGTAATGTTTTGACATGTAAGTAATAGCATCATTATATCAATATTTTAGATATAAAAATATATCGAATTAGATTTTAAATAATTAATATTTATAAATAGGTATAATAGTATAGGATGATATTTTAAATCAAGGTATGTAATATCGTATCGTATTGGTATTTCGAGGTTGGTTCGGTATGGTATCGTATCGAATAAGTTTATTTTTTTATTATTATAATACTGTAGCACTGTTATAATATAGTATTGTAGCGGTATTAGACGGTCCGTGTATCGATATATCATATACGTATCGTCCGTATCGAACGGTATCATTCGGTACTGCATACCATGTTTTAAACTTTCAACACTTACGTTATTTTGTTCGATGCATCGTCAAATATATCAGATGAGATTTAAAATTTAAAATTTTTATTAAATGATTCTAATACACAATGAACACGAAACAAACGGAGGAAGCTAAAAAGTCTCTTCTCGATTGGTATACATCAAAACCGGAACAAAAATAATGATAAAGCACCCCAAAAAAAGTATCATGATATCACAAAAGAGAAGACGATACATTAACTGCTGCATACTTTAAAGTTAGGTCTGAAATTTCGTACCGTACCGGAGTTTCGACGATCTCTCAGTACGGCACGTAATGGTATATCGCTCGGTATCCCGAGCGGTATACCGAGCGATATATGTATATATATATTTTTATTGGTCGACGTCGCATCGCCTCGGTGACGTCGCCTTTTCCTTCCCCACACGGGGCGACGTCGCCGAGGCGACGTTTATTTAAATAATATATATATATATATAGCGACATCGTCGAGAAAGACGACGTCGTGTCGCCTCGGTGACATCGCCGAGGCGACACGACGACGACACGACGTTGCCTCGATTTTATTTAAATTATCAATATATATTAATATACATATATTATATATATATTAATATATATATATATATATTATTTATTTTATTATTATTATTCGTTCCATCCGGTAACGAGCGGTTCGCGTACCGATACGAGCGGACGGTACTGTCAGTATGACAATCCTTTTAAACAACAGTGTGGTATGGTAATGTTGCTTTGGTGCGGCATAACTCGCTTACTTGTTGACCGACGTGTCAACTTGAATCTCTCTTCACCGGCGTTTCGAGGTCGGAGCGATGGCGAATCAGGGGGCGAAGAAGAGAAAGGAGGAGAACAGGAGGCACATGGCTAACCTCCTCCGCCTCATCATCGCCTCCAATGTACGTTCACCCACCCGCTCCCTTCCTCTCTCTCCCCTAATATCTTCTTCCCCCTTTCCTTCCTTTCTCGTATCTGTTTCTATTCCTTGATTCGTCCTTTTACCGGTTGTTTTGATCTTAGATTCGGTTGGCAATAACCGGACGATTTCGAATGCCTCTGCTGTAGCTGTGCATCTTCGGTATAATTTTCTTGCGCGAGCGTTGTTTCTTATACCTAGCATAGGACTAATTTTCCAGTTGTGGTGGCTTGCTCGTCGGAGGGGCCAAAGTTGGGAATCACCCGACGAAGATCATTTTTGCAGGAAAGCGATCGCCCACGATCAGCGAGCGTCTCAACCCGGGAATCGCCATCTAGTATGCGAGGACGCGTTATAGTGTTTAGTTCAGGTTTAAGAATTGTGTTACTGCCTCTATGATTAAGGAGAATAATACTTCTTAGCAGAAGATACACAGATGTTATAGTGTTTAGTTCAGGTTTAAGAATGGTTGATTTGGTGATTGTTGGTTTAACATACCAATTATCTTGCAAACCAAATAAGAAGAAAGATTAAAGTCAGATAAACAGTTAGGATAAATTAACCTAATTATTTTATGCCCAACAAAATTGATTTATAACTAGAGCATATGTCAATATTGGTACATGTACTCTCATTAGTGTTAATTACACGAAAGAGAAACGAAAAAGGATAAATTATAAAAAAACAACCCAAGTTTCACTTTTTTTTATTACATGAAAGAGAAAAAAAAGATAAATTCTAAAAAAACTCAAGGTTTTATTTTTTTTTTTTTTAGAGAGAGCGTTTGTTTTTTTGCTTTATTCCCATCTAAAGTTTTTTATTTTCTAAAATATGATATTATGCCTAGCCTCTACTCGGTCGATCGATGCCTCTACCCCATCGATTCATCGCCTCTGACTCTCGTATTTCATTTATCACTTTCGTCTTTGTCTCATTGCTTCCTCTATGCATTCTCCCTCTCTACATGTCCACCTCTCCGTTGATCTTGACACCATCAGCTCTCCATCAAGCTAGTAGTCGCACCTCCATCATCGTAGTAAGAGCAACCTCCACCATCACAACTCCATATTCACTTCTTTTCTATTAGTCGACCTTATTCTTTCCATCGCCACGATCACTATTGCCCTTGCCTTGCCTCCTCTCTCCATTCACAAGCTTCATGTCGTTCTCCTCCTACTCCTAACTATGTCAACTAACCTTCCATTTCACTCGTCATCATATCAAACTGCAATGCTTATGGATGATGATTGGACTAATCATGTGACGATGATGAAGACACAATTATTAGCTCGATAATGAATCGATAGTGTAAAGATGATATGGTAGTAGGAGTAACGGGCAAAGGCGTTGCATGATAGTTGGATGAGAGCATGAAAACTAAGTTGAGGGATAATTTAATTTTTTAAAAAATAAACTTTTTGATCAACGGAAAAAAAAAA